GAGGAAGAGCGTCGAACGCTCGAGAGCGCGCGCGACGTCGCCACGACGGACGACTATCGCGCGTGGACGCGACGGTGCGAGCAGTGTCTCGCGTCTCTGCGCGAGAGGTGCCTAGACGCGAGTCGCAGAATCTCCACGGGGGCGAGGACCTCCAGAATGCCAAATAAATCAACGAAACCCAGATGTACGACCTGTGACAGTGACCCTCGCTAAAGACAGTCGCGTGCCTACTGTTCAGGTCCAGCTCATCAAAACATCCGCTCATATAACTCTCATGCTAGATACAGGATCCGAACCGAATATAATTAAAGAAAAATTCACATCTAAAAATATTAAAATAAATTTTGATAATATTTTGAAATTAAATGGTATAAATAACTATCCTGTTTACACACTCGGAGAAATTATGTTAACACTTTTTGGAAAATCTGTATCTTTTCACATTGTATCCGACGACTTTCCGATTCCACAATCCGGAATACTTGGAAATGATTTCTTCAAGCAAACTTCTTCAAAAATAGATCAACGCAAACGAGACAACAAGATGAAACTCTTACTAATACTAGGCCTGGCTGAGGTGTGTGCACTAGCCCTAAGCCCTATGCTCTGTCAAAAACAAAGGGGTTTAAGAACTTTTAAGCGAGACTACATGTTAAATTGTAATATTAGCAAGACACCCAAGTGCGTGACTATAACTTTGAGGGTACCTAGTTATCAACAATAAAAAGCAGGAGGTCATTGGAGTGGGTTGTATCAGCAGACCTGTATTACTCGCTATTTCTTTTGGGGTTCTTACACTTCAAAAGCATGGCACGAACCAATTGAACTTACTCGCCAACAAAGTAACGACTTGGTGAGAGGAATGTGCCCCAGTGAGGCGCACCCCACCCCTCTTTTGCACCATATAGCTGATAACTGCCAGTATACATGGCCCTCAGAAACCACCACAAAAACACTTTATTGCATAGTGAGAGCAACCACAGTGAGGCAAATAGTAGGACAACCCATAACCTCAGATGAGGAGGCTCTAGTTCCTTCCACCATACAGCCGGGCAGAGCGGAAACCATAACAGACGCAGTGGTTACCTGGAACGAGGCTGACATGCATGAGTTGGATGCCTGGATGACAAAGTACGAAGGCCCTGCTTATATCAACGATGATCAAATAATTGTTGATCATCTACAAGAGGGATATCTTCTGGTAGGTCAACCTGATGAGAGTGATGGCATTTGGTGTGTGTGGACCACAGTGGAGGGTTTTCAAATTAAAATCCCTATAATGGACACGAAGGTAAGAAGTATCAGTAAACATAGCAAAAGGGACATTACAGAAGCCATACAATCAGAGATCAATACTAAATTGCAATATGCTACCTATAAGATAGAAGGCACCTTGCAATTGACTCATACCATTTGTAATCGTCAGAAAATTCCAGCTCCGTCAATTGCAAGGAGGGAAATTACCAAACCTCTTTAGAAAAAAATAATTCTGGAATTTCGGAGGGAAGTTTCCAAACCTCGTCAGAAAATTCCAGCTCCGTCAATTACAAGGAGGGGAATTACCAAACCTCTTTAGAAAAAAATAATTCTGGAATTTCGGAGGGAAGTTTCCAAACCTCGTCAGAAAATTCCAGCTCCGTCAATTACAAGGAGGGAAGTTACCAAACCTCACTACGAAAATCGATACCTTATCCAAAAAGGGAAAGAAGTTCTTCGTCCACTCTGGACCTTACATCTCTAAAGGATGGATTATTTACAGGAAAAAACGACAATAATGAATTAGAAACCTCCCATGTTATAATAAAAGACCTCGTCCAAGAGGCTCAAGAACATAATTCGAACATTAGAAAAATCAAAAATTCTCGAAAAATTAACCGCAAGAATAAGCCATCTTCGAAACTTTCTACGTCCTTATGTAATAAATCTCAAGAAATAATAGATAAATTTACGCGAAAACATAAGTCTAAACACGAGGTTGACATTATAACCCCCGAGTCGCATAATTGCCTGGTACTTTCTGAGGAAACTAAGGAAGATCGACTCTCCAAAATTATTGACTCATTGCGATTAGAGCATTTAAATGGAAAAGAACAGGAAAACATAATAAAATTAATAACGAATAGTCAAGATCGTTTCCACATTCCTGGAGAAAATTTAACCGCAACTCACGTTTTGCAACATCGAATAACGACCACCGATGATCACCCGATAAATACTCGGCAATATAGATTTCCGCAAATACATAAAGAAGAAATAAACAAGCAGGTAGAGGACCTCCTACAGGGAGGCATAGTGAAACATTCGCAGTCGCCTTACAATACGCCCATATGGATTGTGCCTAAGAAAGACGATTCTAAAGGAAATAAACGATGGAGAATGGTTCTCGATTTTCGAACCTTAAATGATAAAACTATTGGAGACGCTTACCCACTATCTAATATTGTTGATATACTAGATAAACTAGGGGGAGCGCAGTATTTTCCCATATGCGATCTCGCATCTGGATTTCATCAAATAAAAATGGATCCTGCTGACAGTCACAAAACCGCTTTTACGACTCCTTTCGGACATTACGAATTCAGAATGCCTTTCGGCTTAAAAAACGCTCCGGCTACTTTTCAACGCTTAATGAATTTAGTATTAACAGGACTACAAGGCGAAGAATTATTTGTATATATGGATGACATAGTTATTTATGCCAAATCATTAGAAGAACATGAAAGAAAATACAATGCTTTAATAGAACGTCTTCGAAAAGCTAATTTAAAACTACAGCCTGACAAGTGCGAATTTTTGAAGCCGGAAATAACATATTTAGGACATATAATTAGCAAAGATGGAGTAAAACCAGATCCAAAAAAATTAGAAGCTGTGAAATTATTTCCAAGACCGAAAACGCCGAAAAACATTAAACAATTTTTAGGACTTGCCGGATATTACAGACGTTTTATACCTAATTTCTCTAAATTTGCCAAACCGTTAACATCCTTATTAAAAAACAACACAAATTTCGAATGGACATCCGAACAAGAAGAATCGTTTCAAATCTTGAAACAAGAGTTATGCAAAGAACCTGTATTGTAATATCCTGATTTCTCGAAACAATTCATTTTGACTACAGATGCTTCAGGAATAGCCATAGGCGGAATCCTATCACAAGGAGAAATAAACAGAGACCGACCGATCGCATACGCATCACGCACTCTAACAGATAATGAAATAAAAATGACACTTATGAAAAAGAAACCCTAGCCATAGTTCATTGCGTAAAACATTTCAGACCATACTTATACGGAAGAAAATTTACTTTAGTTACTGACCATAAACCTTTAACGTGGTTCAAGAATGCACAAGACGCAAACATGCGAATACTACGCTGGAGACTGAAACTATCAGAGTACGATTATGATGTTGTATACAAAGCCGGAAAAACTAACGTAAATGCAGATGCACTATCACGGAACCCTGTAAATATCATGGAAACAAAATGTAATATCATAACATATAAACCACTGAATCCTAATAATTCGCAAGATGCAGAAAAAATTTCTAGGATGTTAGAAGAATCCGACGACGAGGGAGAAAGCGAAGACGACGATTTTCATTTATACCTTTCAGACACTGAAACAGACGAACCGTTTTATGACCATACTAATGCCACACCATCTGCCGAAGAAAACGAACCACCACCACCCAAACAAGATCGAATACAAACCCGAAGCCAAACTGTAAATTAAAGGGAACAAAATAAAAATTTTTCAGATATCGAAAGACGAACAAACCCACCAGATAAAAACGAAGATAAAGAAGAAAAAGAAGAAGAAGAAGAGGAAGAAGAAATTATCAACCTAAATTTACAGAAAGCAAGAACGAAATCTATCGAAAACAAAAGTAATGTCATAGAAAGTCGTGAATTATTATTTTTACGAAAAGATAACGTAATGTATTTTGTTGACACCAACGGAAAACCTTTAGATTCAGGCTCACAAAAACTCTTCGAGCAGTCTTCCAAATCTTGGGTCCCTTATTCTGGGCAAACCTAAAGCCATAAAATATAAAAACTACTACCACATAGCTCTGCCTATTATAGAAGGACAACAGGAGGGTCCTACAATGACTTTAAACCAAATATCAATCACTGTTCGAAATGCATATGCGGAAACATTCGCGTACCAATGAAATCCGCATTTTCTATTGTAATCCCGAGAATTCGAATTTAACGGGCGGCGAGAAACTTCTCGAAAAATCGATTGTTGACAAAAAGCCAACCGTTCAAGTCATCTCTCCTTTTTTTGCGCCGCACAAAACCGCTCAGTGACAACAGTTGACAATAACATTGTCAACTGTCGCCGAAATCCGCGCAACGAACGGGCATACGCGCCCGTACGTCACGATCAGCTGATCACCAATCAGCTGATCGGAAAAAGTTGTACGCATGACAAATGTTAACCGCCTATTTCCTGACCTCATCGGCGGCCAATTATGTGCGGCGCCATGAGGTCACCGCCAAATTTTAAAGTTAATTGGGCCACGTCGCAACGGGGCCCAAAATCCGCTCGGTATATAATGGGCCCAGCGCGAGGGCAAGCCGAAGTCTCGCACTTTTCGCACAACCGCTTTCTCAGTACAACCGCTTCGCTAAAAAACCGCTTATTGTATACGACCGCTTACTCACTCGGACTTTTCGTTATTCTCGCTTCACTTCAGTGTCTGTAATCAAATATATATTTTGTGTAAACTTTATTTCTCTAATTGTGTGGTGTTAGAAATAAAAAAATCTATAAAAAGAACAAAAAATATACGTGTCGTGGCTCGTCTTTGTTGCAAGAAGTTGTGGTATCTTCATTGTCGTCATTTATCGTCGCGCCTGTCTCCACGGCTAAGTCATTCGCGAACATTTTCTGGTCCTTCGAGCCGGATTCGCCATCCGCATCCGCAGTTCGTGAGTGACGTTCTCGTGACATTTAGTGCGCGAACCTGTGCAAAAAGAAACAGTTACGATGAGTGCCGATTTGAAGGCGTTGTTGGAAGCGCAAAACGACTTCCACGGGCGAATGTCCCGCTCCGTGGACAATCTGCGCAAGATGGGCGTCTCGAGCATCACGGCCGAAGCAGTCCAGGCTCGCCTCCGCATCCTCGACACGCTGTGAACCAAATTTGAGGCTCATCATGACCTCATCAGGACAACTCTGAAAGATAAATATCTCGAGAGTGAGTACGCTAAGGCAGACTTTATCGATATCGCGGAATCAACTTACGTGTCTCAGCGAAGCTTACTTGTCGAATACGCGAACAGTCTCAAAGACGAGGCGTCGATCACGCCCAAGACCGAGCGCCAAGAGCAGACGCTCAAAACTTCGTTGCCGCGGATCAAGCTCCAGTCATTCTCTGGGGCATACGGAGATTGGCCCGCGTTTCGCGACATCTTTCAGTCCATCGTCGGCAGCAATGCGTCCATCTCCGACGTGGAAAAGCTGCACTATCTCCGCACGAGCTTGCAGGGTCCTGCGGAAAAGCTAATTAGATCGTTGCCAATCGTCGGGGGCAATTACGAGCGAGCCTGGTCCATCCTCAGCTCACATTATGAGAACAAGCGGGAACTCATTCGCGCCAACTTCGCCGCTTTCAACGCCGTGGCAAGAATGAAAGCCGCGACTGCCGACGAGCTTAGCCGCGTTTATAATGCAGCCACCACTGCCATTAATGCTCAGGAGAGCATTGCCAGGCCAATAGACACGCACGGAATGGACCTCTTTAACTACTTACTTATCGAGCGATTCGATGCGCAAACCCAGATGCAATGGGAGTCCTCCATCCGCGACTCCGTCGACCCGCCAAGTAACGACGTGCTTATGGACTTCATCGCGAAGCAAATCCTGACACTGAACGCCGTGCAGCCAGCCACCGTCGCGAAATCCGGAGAAGCTTCCCGGTCCGCGAAGTCACACTTCGTGAAGCGCGCTTCGGACTCCTCAGTTTGCGCCGTCTGCAAAGAGAAACATTCCGTTATGCAGTGCGCGACGTTTAAGGCCAAGACCGCGACCGAACGGAAAACCCTGGTGGAGGCGCACAAGCTCTGCTTCAACTGCCTCGGGAACCACTTCCTAGCGAAATGCCAATCGACGAAAACGTGCTTCACATGTAAGGCACGACACCACACTATGCTGCACGACGCGTACTCGCAAGCCGACGGAGCAGCTTCGTTGTCCGCCACGCACTTCGCGTCGGACCGCAAGGCGATCCTTCTCGCCACCGCTCGGGTCACCATCAAGGACCACCTGGGGAGACCGCACGACGTTCGAGCGCTTATTGACCAAGGGTCCGAGGTCTCTCTGGTCACGGAGGCTCTGGCCCAGCGGTTGCGTCTGCCGCGGGACCGCTCGATGAAGATAGCCGGGATCGGAGGAGCAACCGGAGCAACTCGCGGACGGCTGTCAATGACGCTGTCTTCCCCAATCACTGGAGCAGCATTCCCGGTGCAGGCGTACGTTCTCCCGCGTCTCTCGACGTACCAGGGGCCCGTCGTGCGATCCGGCATCACCTGGCCTCACCTACGCGGCCTCCCGCTAGCCGATCCACAATACCTTGACCGAGATCCGATCGAGATATTGCTCGGCGCGGACGCTTACTCCGCCATCCTCCAGGATGGGCTCCGCAAAGGACGTAAGGATGAGCCAATAGCGCAAAGGACCTCACTCGGATGGATCTTGTCGGGCGGTCATCGAGCCACGACACAAGCCGGCCACACCGCCCATCAATGTACGGTCGATCACGAGCTGAACGATCTCGTAAAGCTCTTCTGGGAGCAGGAAAAGGAACCTGTCGCTCCCGTCGCGCTCACTCCTGAGGAGAAAAGATGCGAAGACATCTTCGCCCGCGAGCACTCACGCACTAACGCCGGGCGTTACATGGTGAGGCTTCCCTTCGCCGGAACTGCACCCTCTCTGCCAGAAACCCGCCGGCCGGCCGAGCGTTTGCTCCACGCCATGGAGCGCCGCTGCGAGAAGGACGCTCGATTCGGCAACCTCTACCGCAGCTTCATGAAGGACTACGAGGACCTGCAACACATGGAAGCTGTAACTTCATCATCACAACGAGAAGATACCGCACGGTGCTACTTACCGCATCACGGAGTGTTGCGAGAGACGAGCACCACTACGAAGCTCAGGGTTGTATTCAACGGCTCTCAGCTCACAACCTTGGGCACCTCACTGAACGCCAGCCTACTGACGGGAGCCAACCTCTTGCCAGCTCTCGCGGACGTGCTGCTTCGTTGGCGCTGGCACCACTATGTCTTCGTGGCGGACATCGAGAAGATGTACCGCCAAATCCTCATCCACCAGGACGACCGCGATCATCAGCGGATACTTTGGCGGCACAGTGCCGCCGACGACATCCGCGAATACCGCCTACAAACGGTCACGTATGGCTTGGCGTGCGCGCCGTTCCTTGCCATACGGACCTTGCACCAGCTCGCCGATGACGAGGGTACACGTTTCCCGCGGGGAGCTGCCGCGCTGCGCCGCGATACCTACGTGGACGACATCGTGACCGGCGCCGGCACCCTTTCGGAAGTCACTTTAGCCCAGCGAGAGCTCCGCGGCCTCTGCATGGCGGGCGGGTTTCCGCTTCGGAAGTGGGCGACGAACGACCTCCGCGTCCTGGACGGCGTTCCGCACGAGCACCGGCTCACCCACTCACCTCACTCGTGGTTTCACGAAAGCCACACCACGCTAGGTCTTCACTGGCATCCGGCCGGTGACCACTTCACCTTTTCACAACAGGCGCGTCACTTCGATGAACTCACTAAACGACGCGTGCTGTCTGAGACCGCTCGAATGTTCGACCCGCTGGGCTGGCTCACTCCGGTCACGATGCGAGCAAAAATCTTAATCCAGTCCGCCTGGCTCCAGAAGCTAGACTGGGATGCTCCTCTTCCATCAACGGACGCACTTGCTTGGAAGAGCCTGCTCACTCAACTCCCACGCCTCAACGAGATAAGGGTATCTCGTTGGCTCGGCAGCGACGGTTCGCACTCACATGTTGACCTCCACGGATTCGCCGACGCATCGGAGCGAGGATACGCCGCCGTGGTGTACCTCCGCTCCTCCACTCAAAAGGGCACCACGATCCACTTGCTCAACGCGAAGGGCAAGGTCGCCCCCGTGAAGCCCGTGTCCTTGCCGCGACTCGAGTTGTGCGCTGCCGCCCTCTTAACGAACCTCGTTGCTCACACGCGCACTTTATTGAGTCTGTCCGCAGCCCCCGTCTTCCTCTGGTCAGATTCCAAGGTCACACTTCATTGGATTCACGGTCACGCCTCCCGCTGGAAGACCTACGTGGCCAACAGGGTGTCTCTGATCCAAGAGCAACTGCCCGAAGCCCGATGGCGACACGTGCCGGGAAGGGACAACCCGGCTGACTGCGCCTCCCGAGGCATCCTGCCTGACGACCTGGTCGATCATCTTCTCTGGTGGACCGGACCATCCTGGCTCCTAGAGGACGAGGCGAGGTGGCCAAGTGACGATGGCGCCCTGCTGGACGCTGACTTGCCGGAGCGTAGAGCCGTCGCCTCACTGGCGGCTGCCGTCAAGGACGTTTCTGAGTCGGCCTTCCTTCTCCGGTTCTCATCGCTGCACCGGCTCCTCAGAGTGACCGCCTGATGTCTTCGATGGCGACGAAACGGCACCCGGAGACCTCGCGGCACCACTGACACCGCACGATCACTCGAAGCTTGCGAAATCGAAACCGCACTCACTCGCTGGATTCACACCACTCAGGCACTGCACTTCCACGACGAATTCGACGCACTACGAAAAGAACGTGCCTTGCCACCGCGGAGTCCGCTCACGAGTCTGAATCCGTTCATCGATGACAGCGGAGTGATGCGTGTCGGAGGACGACTGAAACACGCCATGCTGTCTCACGACGAGCGGCATCCCATTATAATTCCGCCGGAATCCAGGCTGACTCACCTGATGGTCGATTCCTGTCACCGGCGAACCCTGCACGGAGGAGTGCAGCTCACCCTCGGGTTGCTGCGCCAACGGGTCTGGATCCTGCGTGGTCGAGCGGTCGTTAAACGGGTCATCCACCGATGCGTCACCTGCACGCGATGGAAAGCCGCCGCTCCACAACCGATGATGGGCAATCTCCCCCGAGAGCGAGTGACTCCTGCACGCCCGTTCCTGCGCACCGGAGTCGACTACGCCGGCCCGATCTTCATCCGGACCAGCAAGGGGCGAGGCCACAAGGCGAGCAAGAGCTTCATCTCAGTCTTTGTCTGCCTCAGTACCAAGGCCGTTCACCTCGAGGCAGTCACTGACTACTCGGCAGAGGCATTCCTGGCCGCCTTCCGCCGCTTCGTCTCCCGGCGAGGCCTCTGCCATGAAATCTTCTCCGACTGCGGCACGAACTTCGTCGGGGCGGATCGAGAGCTACGAGAACTGTTTCGCGCTTCCTCCTCCGACGGCCGTCGGATAGCTCTCGCTACAACCTCCGACGGCGTGAGATGGAGATTCAACCCCCCGGCAGCTCCACACTTCGGCGGACTCTGGGAGGCAGCCGTAAAATCCACGAAGCACCATCTCCGCAGGGTCATCGGCGAGGCCACCCTCACCTACGAGGAGATGGCGACGCTCCTCGCTCAGGTGGAGGCGTGCCTGAATTCACGCCCGTTACAGCCGCTGACGGACGACCCCGACGACGTGACGGCACTCACACCCGGGCACTTCCTGATCGGAGCGCCCCTTCTGGCCGTCCCAGAACCGCCCCTCACCGCCGAGAAGGACACTGCACTCTCCCGGTGGCGACTTCTCCAGAAGATGCGCGACCACTTCTGGGAACGGTGGTCGCGCGAATACCTGGGCACCCTGGCCGCAAGACCGAAATGGACCAGGGATGAGACCGGCCCCAGCATCGGCGACCTGTGCCTGCTCCGGTCCGAGATCACACCCCCGACCAGATGGCCGCTCGCCCGCATCACGGCACTGCACCCCGGAGACGATGGAATCACCCGCGTGGTCACCCTCCGCACGGCGACGTCGAAGTTTACTCGGCCACTCGCGAAAATCGTCCTCCTGCCGGGGGCCGACACCGCAGCACCAACAACTCCGGTCTCGTGAGCGAGAAAAATCATTTTTTTTTTTTTTATCATTATTACTTACCTGTACCGCGAGAACGCCGATAATCATACCGCGCGTGACCACCGCTTAATCACATGTGACCGCACTATCATTCCTTCCTCTTTTTTCACCGTCACTCATCACTTCACATCATTTGAGTTGTTCATCATTCATTGTCACTCGAGCGTCACTACATTCACGCAAACACCTTACACTCAGTTCATCACATTCACTGCATATTCTCACTTCATCACCGCACTACTCATTTTCTCAACGGATTCGCTCGAACTGCACAACACGTGCTCTCGCATGACGTCACACATTCCATTGATTGATCGCGATCCATGGCTCGCCACTAGAACAGTACGCGACACCTGCCCGTAACCGCGCACACCAACAAATTTCGTCACGTACTGACGAGGCGGGCGGGATGTTCGAAATGCATATGCGGAAACATTCGCGTACCAATGAAATCCGCATTTTCTATTGTAATCCCGAAAATTCGAATTTAACGGGCGGCGAGAAACTTCTCGAAAAATCGATTGTTGACAAAAAGCCAACCGTTCAAGTCATCTCTCCTTTTTTTGCGCCGCACAAAACCGCTCAGTGACAACAGTTGACAATAACATTGTCAACTGTCGCCGAAATCCGCGCAACGAACGGGCATGCGCGCCCGTACGTCACGATCAGCTGATCACCAATCAGCTGATCGGAAAAAGTTGTACGCATGACAAATGTTAACCGCCTATTTCCTGACCTCATCGGCGGCCAATTATGTGCGGCGCCATGAGGTCACCGCCAAATTTTAAAGTTAATTGGGCCACGTCGCAACGGGGCCCAAAATCCGCTCGGTATATAATGGGCCCAGCGCGAGGGCAAGCCGAAGTCTCGCACTTTTCGCACAACCGCTTTCTCAGTACAACCGCTTCGCTAAAAAACCGCTTATTGTATACGACCGCTTACTCACTCGGACTTTTCGTTATTCTCGCTTCACTTCAGTGTCTGTAATCAAATATATATTTTGTGTAAACTTTATTTCTCTAATTGTGTGGTGTTAGAAATAAAAAAATCTATAAAAAGAACAAAAAATATACGTGTCGTGGCTCGTCTTTGTTGCAAGAAGTTGTGGTATCTTCATTGTCGTCATTTATCGTCGCGCCTGTCTCCACGGCTAAGTCATTCGCGAACAATCACCGTAAATAATCTACGCGACATCATTCAAGATTTAAAATTAGAAACAATTAGTATTGCAAAAACAGAAACAATTAATAACGTACTATGGAATAATATTAAATCACATTCTGTCAACATTTGTTAATATACCCGTTAAATTGATTATATGTAATGGATTAGTCAAATATCCACCTAAAGATTTACGAACTGTCATTATTGGAGAGATGCACTGCCTACCCACAGGAGGACACCGTGGCGTTACAAAGACTTACAACAGAATAAAACATAACTATTATTGGGAGAACTTGAAAGCCGACGTTCAAAGATACATCCAGCAATGTTTACAATGTCAACTCAAAAAACTCGTTCGAGTCAAAACTAAACAGCCTATGATAATTACAGACACACCAGGATCTTCTTTCGACAAGGTCGCTATGGATATCTCGTAGGACCATTACCGAAAACCGAGAGAGGCAACGAATATATTTTAACGCTACAAGATCAATTAACAAAATATTGTATGGAAATATCGCTACCAAATCAGACTTCCGAGACCATCGCAGAAGCTTTCGTAGATCGATTCATTTGCGTGCTCGGAGCACCAAAGGCGATATTAACAGATCAAGGACGAAATTTTATTAGCGAATTATTAAAAAAAATTGCTAAACTATTTAAAATTCGCAAGTTTCGAACAACAGCTTTCCATCCTCAATCAAACGGATCTTTAGAGAGATCTCATCATGCATTAGGAGAATATTTAAAACAATATGCGAACGAACAAAAACAGTGGGACCGATGGGTTGGTCTTGCAATGTTTAATTATAATACTAGCGTACATAAAGCAACTAAGCATACTCCATACGAATTAGTTTTTGGTAAAATAGCAAGAATTCCATCCAACGAACCTCTTACTTCAGAAGATAAACTAGCAAGCTACGATGAATACTTAATAAATCTCGTCACACTATTCAGGGAAATGCTCGCGATAATGTTATTCAAGCAAAAACTAAATAAAAAAATCATTACAAAAAAAATCATTACAAGAAAATAAATCCGCAGACATTTAAGCCTGGAGACCAAGTATTTTTATTAAAAGGTCCTAAACCTGGTAAATTCGAGGACCAATATACCGGACCTCACGAGGTTTTAGAAATTCTTAACAAAAATAATGTAAAAATTAAGATAAAGAAAAATAGTCGAACAGTACATCCTAATCGCTTACGAATTTCACACATCAAGCCACCGAAAAGCCAATAAAGAAAAAAAAATCAAACTCTATTATCATAAACAATTTTAACCACTCTACAGAATAAAGAAAAATGGAGATCAAAAGCATCAAAACAAATTTCTTAACACGAGGACGCTTGGACGTAACAATAGTCAAGGTGGAGTCACCGCTCCTCTTCTGCGTTAAAAACTGAGAAACGGCGAGAAAGATTTAAAAGAATTAGAGGAAGAATTAGAATTCAGGATGGTCAGGAAAGCCACCTATCTACACATCTGGCCCGAAGATTTCAAAGAAAACATGGCCGTCGCAATAAAGGATTGTAAAACCTGGCGGCGGGCATTATAAAAAGAATTAATAGGACGAACTGGATGGTCAAAATCAACCTAGGGGACTGGGGCCGATCAATCTGGCGGCGTATGTGCGATGTCTACCTTCTGGAGGACAGATTCAAGGAGTTATTCTGGCAAACTATAACCTGTGGTTTAGCCTACACCGGTCCTGTCCAGAACGTCCAAACCTGGCCAAAAGAAACCAAGGATCTCTGCCGACTACTTCTCGAAGGACGAAAAGGATGGATATAGTCCGCCCCCTCAATGAAGGGACGTCACTGGTTAAATTAAACGTAGAAGGCATATCTCTGACCACTTCATATTCTCTTCGCGACGCACTTATTTTATTAGGTCGCGCTCAACTTAGTACTAGTGTAGCTGTAAATGTAATTCCAACCGTATAAAAAACGATGGAACACATTCCATACATTATTAAGTATTCTATATTATTAGTTATTATCTTACGTATATACTCTATATTAAGTATTATGTTACGTATACTCTATATTAATTATTATCTTACGTATACCCTATATAATCATTCTTAAAAAAAAAAAAAAACTTAAATAACGAAAAAATTAAATTACATAAAATCATATATTTACTCAAATAGAATATTCATATTCAAAAGAGAAGAGAATGATTATATACATATACAAATACATAAAAACATGTTATACAAAAATTATAAACATTTTATAGGAATCTTAGTTATAGAGTTATCATTGATTTATCATAATTTTACATAAGACTGATATTCTTTTTAGCACTCTAAGGAGCGCGAAAGTGGAACCGCTTTTTCTCTCATTAATGAATATCGCTTGATCATCAGAAAAGCTGGTTATTACCCTCTTCCCCTTCTTCCTTTTTTTCCCCTCTCTTCGCGAGGCCTCTCAAAATGCAATTCCTCGATGGACAAAGAGCGAATCACAATGACTATCGCAACCTAGTTGAACTCCAGTGCGTCACCATAACAAGAGACGACGTTTTCAAGACATCAAGGAATGCTTTGTGGCAATACTATCGAACTATAGACAACAGTACATGTTAGTACCACTGCATAATTTGGTCCATTAAATCTCAGCCGAACATCAAACAACTTGCACGATCTGTAGCATAATCTTATGAGTCAGCCCCGCATGGGCATGCCTATACTGCCTGGAAGAATATCTACACGTCGACATGACGTACTTAGTCAAAGAATGGGGATGCCCTGTGACCACCAGATGGTTAGAAGAAAAAAAAATAAACCCCTACATCAAACCCGGCCCGAGCGCCTGGCATTGTCTCGCTTCTGATGATCAGGTAGTTAAAGTTATAAGAAAAGAAAAGGGAAATTCTTTTCCTTTCTTGCTAATGACAAAAGTATTAATAGTAATAACGAAATGAAGTTCCACGTTCGCATTATAAGAAATCGATAGTTCATCAATCTTAATAATAGGAAAAATAGCGTATTAATAACATAATACACATATACACAATATGTACAATATAATAGTGATAGGCACGCCTCCGAAAGGCCACCCAAATACTAAGTTATAAAAATAAATGGCAAGAAAAGAATCGAAACAATTCCATCTGCAAATGTTGTGTCCTACATCCCCAACATTTGTCTAACGGCGGGGGTGTTACGTCCAGAGGAGCTCACGATTCTTTTCTTTTCCTTATCTGGTGCACATGTGCACGACTTCCGAAAATCGTTAATGATAGTTAAATTGAAGTAGGATTCTCAGTAAATACTCCAGAATAACAATCAGATATTCACGAACTGATAAAAGTAGCATCTGGTTAAATAAGGCGGCAATCAGTTAGAATTTGATATTTTCTGATCCACTAAAAAAAACTCACAAAATTCAAACAAGCTACAGAAAATAAAGAAAACGATTTACAAAACGTGAGTGAGCGGATGTCGCGACAAGCACCCGTTTTATATCAAGGGGGTAGTAAAAGTTATCCCCTTATCTCCAACAGATACATCTTACAAAGCATAAATTATCACCACTTCCGATACTGAGAATCCTAAGTCCCCCGTTTTGGAAGATGCTCTCCTATTCGCGGACAAATGTAATTAAATTCTGATTTGTTGCATTTGTTTTAAAATGTTCATAAGTAGGGACAGGAAGGAGACCACGGAAATCTAACGAGGGTTTCTATTCGTCAACTTCCCTTATTCCTCACGCTGGGAGAGGGTAATCCAAAACGATATATAAGCGCGAACTTTGGACAAATCGACGCTCAAAAACACACAGTCAGTCAGTCGGACATACATT